CTTTCCCCCAAGCCCCATGGGGGAGAGGAGAGGAAGGACTCTGCCCACCTAGAGCTCAGTGGGACCCCCTTGGAAAGCTTGACATGAGTCCCTTGGAATTGAGGGAAGCAAGGCAGATGTCTGAGTTGGGCTTATGACGTGTAAAGGCAGGAGACTGTGGCTTGCAGGCCTCCCTGCAGCAGGGAGGCGAGGAGAGTGCTCTGGGGATCAGCTGCCTCTTTAGAGCTTGCGATTGTGTTGCCCATGGACCACATGTGGCACCAGGCCAGTGGAGCTGAACTGGTCAGCAGCACCACGCGGAGGGTCAAGGGAACCCAGAAAGGGTGGATTGCTGAAGAGCAGTGGCCAGGACAGAACTGGAGGTGTCCAGCCAGCAGAGGCTCTTCTTGTCAAGGACCCTGCGGGTGAGTGAACCCTGCTGACAGGAGGAGGCTACAGCCTGCCAAGCAAGAGTTAGCAGTTTGAGTCTTCCCACAGAGGGCGCCAAAGACAGGCTACAACAGCACCAGTGGTGTGTCTGGTCCAGACACGTGCTCTGGGGTTGCGTATATTATTTTAACCCTCACGACCAGCACATGAAGAGGTACTATTATCCTCATTTTACAGGTGAGCTAGGAAGTCATGCAGAGGATTCTCTGGCGGCACCCGCTTCGCCACTTTGCTATTTATGAGTTCTCTGGACCCTTTCTCTTTCCCTGACACCACTCCCACCCCCCTGCATCCATTGCCTCTTTCTCATGGGGTCTCCACACCTAGGCAGGCACCCCTCTTGACTGGCTCCTTTTGACACAGCTCAAGCCCCATTGCCTTCCCAGCTTCCATGCAAACCTCAGAAATGCAGCTTCCTCAGGCCGCCCAACTCCAACAGTCCTGCCTCCACCTGCTCTTTGTGGACCCACAGCCCTAGACGCACTCCACCAGGCAGGCAGCAGACACTGGTCTCAACGACCTCACACCCCTACCCCCAGGGGAGCTGAGGAAAGCCACAGCACCCTCCAGCCCCCCTGCTAAAACTACACGAGGACAGAGTCTGTCCTGTTAACTCATGTGTCACAGCACTTAGAGTGGGAGTGTGAACACTCAACAAGTATTTGTTCAACAGATTCCTTTTCCAGCATCTTTCCCCGTGAACCCCAAGCCGCCCTATGCAAGCCAGCTACAGGTGCTAGGGGCTGGTGATCACAGGATTGTCACGCTCTCTTACAACAAGTCTGAGGAGCATGGCCAGCAGCTCTTGTTGGAACTGGGGTCCTTGTCCCCCACTGTTCTCAGCTTTGAAGTTGAAGTTGAAATTTCTCCAAAATTGGAAACTTTTTTTTTTTAAATATCCAGCTACACAAGTAAAATAGTAAAATGGGCAAAAGACTAAATCAAATGTGTTGTATTATTACCATGGAATACGAAGCAGTAATTTTTT